GTAAAATAAATGGTTCAGTATAAGAAATGCCAAGTGCATTACAAAAAAACAGGCACTTTATTTCTCAAGCTCTACATCTGTAATTGGTATACACTTTTAAATTTAATGTACCTTAGTTCTCCATTTGTAAAACCCTTCAGTGAGCAGAACTTTAACAGCACCATTGTGAAACAAAATCGGTGTAACCTTACCAAGAGGCCAAATGTCTGGACATCTCTAGTGCTTTGTTCTCATAAATAAGGAAGATACATTGTATGGTATTTCTGTGGTTCAGTTCGTACAAGTTTCAGTGATGTTTGCAAAACAGAGATAGTGATACTTGCCTACCTTGCAGTGTTTGTAAAGTCAAACTGCATTCAAGATTGCAAGCCTGTCTGCTACCATTAAACTGGAGCCTTGCATAAATGCAAATATCCAATGTGTACTTCATGAAAGACAAATTTGATGGAATTTTATTTTGAATGATTTGAATTGGCAGAACTTCTTAGAAGGCATGCTGAAAACCTGGTGACAGGTGCACACTGTTCTTCTGTAACTTATGGCCAAGACTGATTTCATACAAATTTCCAGCTCAGTCAGTACCTCTCAGCTGGTCAGCTTTGGCGTTTGAATTCCCATGCTGATATTCAGATATGACATTTGAACTGGGAAAGTCAGAGAATGTCCGTGAAGCACCTGCAGTTAAACTGAAAAGTGGACGTGCAAATAGAAACTATTCATTTCTGCACACTATCCCATGAGTCCACTGTGTCAGAGAAGCTTTATCTTTCACAGTTTCTGGTGAAAGATGTTCTCTTCCATGCTGAAAGGAAGCAGGTCTGGGGAGCAATTGTATTCACTCTGAGGGAGGTCATGGAGCAGGCTGGCTGTGAAGAGGACCTTGCTGCCACTTTTAACTTTCTGTCTCCTCCAGAAAAATTGGATGTTCACAATTTGCTTGTTTTTGTGACCATCCTCTATTTTCTTATGTCTGCAACCACTGAGAGAAGCATGAAGAAGCTTCTGTCTCAGAAAAGACCATTAAGACACTGAATATTTTCCACTTAGAAGAACTGATTGTTTTTATGAGGTTTAGCACTTTTTACTCAGCTTTGCTTGTAAGGGACATCTGAAGACCGTCTCTCCTATTTTGTTTTGATCCTGTCACTTCAGAGAGAGATTGGTCCAAATATCTTTACCCAAAAAATGCTTCTTGTCTGTATTTCAGTGGACATACTAGACAAAGCATGTATTTATTTCTGTAAACCTCGTATGAGGTTTTGTCTTTCCAAATTGTAATGAAGGGTCTTTGTAGAGGTCTTGATGCCTCCCTGAAGAGAATGTCAGAAAGTTTCTCTTACTTTCATAATAGATTCATGGATGCACTTTTCTAGATAGCTTTCTATGGTCTGAGGCTCAGTGATTATATGGAGGGCAGAATCTTAGGGTAGATGTGCAACTAGGCTCTTAATTGCCCATTAAGAGTATTCTGAGTTTATAGGAACTCTCTTGGAGGTTATATTTTTTTCCCAGAGTCCATGTCCTGCGAAACAGTTCCAGGATATTAATACTGGTTCTGAGGCAACTTGGATCCTGTCTGAGAGCTTGGAAGAGTTTTGTGCCACCATCCTCAACCTACATATCTGTCAGCACTCACAGATCACCCAGTGTGAGACTGCAGACGTGGCACATTGCAGGCATGTCTTTGGGTCTCTTACACTTAACAGTCATCTGTTGAATGTGATTGTGACAGTGCAAGGGAACTGGAGGACTTTCTCTGGTGACAAGTGAACCATGTGTGTGCATTTCTGCACTCCTTTTGCTAATTACGGGTGCTTAGCTGGGAGAGCTCAGGAGTGCTGGGGTGTTCTGGGAGGTGCTGAACTGTGTGTTCAGGGGCAACCTGCGGCTTCAGCCCCACCACGGATTGCCTCACGTCTTCCTTGTGTGTACAAGGCCTGGATATGTATGACTGCTGAGCTGTACTTAAGCCAAGCTCTGATCCCACCAGGAAGATTCAAGGATTTTTCCTGGGTTTTGCTTCAACTTGGGCTTCATGCTTTGATATAACTCTCTTTTTCTCTGCTTCCTGACCAGCCAGTTTCCTGCTTTGACAACTCATTCATCCCGTTGACCTTGCCTGTGCTCTTGGCCTGTATCAATCTCAGCCCAGATTTCTGCATCAGGCCTGAGTTGTGGTGGGTTGGGTGGGTTTTTTTTTTGTGTAGTTCTACTCAGCTGCCTGCTCCAGTTGGCCAGTAGCTTTTGTTGTATTCGAGTCCTAATGAAGACCCATTTGTAGTGGACATTAAGTCCACCATGTCCTTGCCCGTGCTAGAAACAGGATCTCACAAGTCCTGTGGAGCCAGGTGTGGTGCGCTGGCTACATCCAGCAGTCCTGGGAGTTTGGTTTATTGAGATGTGCTGCACAAAAAAGTTGAGGAATGGTGTCTTTTCCTTTTATGCACCATTAAGAACCTTTAAGTTTCAGAATTTCGTGGGTTTCTTGATGCCTGATGGAGACATTATTGGGTCTTGCTCAGGTTTACAAATGCCTTTGACACTACTCCAGAATTTTCCATAAGGTTAGTGAGATGTGAGGAAAAGAATCCTTCAGACTTTGTATACCCAAAAAAACTTAATTACCATTACTTTTATTTTCTTTTTTTTTTTCCTCTTTTTTTTTTTCAAATAAGAATCCACTAAACTCTTCCCTCTTTTCACTCCAGATTCACCTCATATCTACTAAAATACTTTTATCTTCATCAATACAGACTGGAAGCATTCCACATTTTCTTCTTGACCACTTGGGGCTTTAGGCAAACAATTTCCAATCATTTCCGATGAAAAAGACTTAATGTGGGAAATAACATGTAAGGCAGAGCAAACATCCATTTCTAGGTGCAGATCTCATTAACTCTCAGACCTGTAATTTTAATTACTTACATGAGCCATCCTCTTGACAGGCATATTGAGAATAATTTAATTTATCCAATAAAATGAAAATGCAATATAGTGGTTGAGGACCTTTTTTTTTTTTTTTTTTGGTATCTTTATTTAACAGGGGGTTTAGAGCAATGCAAAAATTCCCCAGATGTACAACATGGAAAATAATCATAGATGGCTGAGCTTATAAACCTCGTTATAAACCAGTTTTCTCATATTTTAAATGATTAAAATTATTGTGAACTGAGGCAGTCTAGTATTGAGATGTGTAGCAGTAATATTTTAGGCAATGTATTTGGCACAAACTTTGTTCTCTGTCTGTACTTGTAGTTGTAAGTGTGTGCACTTCTGTTTTCAAGTGGCATTTTTAAATTTATTCTTAAAACATTAAGTAGAAAGTCTGTATGTTAAGTATCTTGAGTCATAATTTTTAAGGCTATATCTGAAAGGGGTATGTACAGAAGTCTGTAAATATGCATATATATGTCTATAATATGAATGCTTGTATTTCAGAAAATTGTTTAAATATATCTATCTTTTAATAAGATTATTAAAATGCAAATATTAGCAATAATTTAATTTCCAGAGTTCAGAAGTAATATACTGTATTCAGAAATCTGAAGTGGAAGACATTTGTGTTTTAAAAAGGCTTTATTTCAAAAAGTTGAAAAAAAAAAGAGAAAGAAAAGTGCTTTTATATGGACTTGATCCAACACCCAAACAAGGAAAGGAACTGACTCCTACTGACTTGAGTTGGGAACTCTAGATCAGACTCCAGCTACAGATGAGATTTTTTTTTTTTTTACCTTCTATTAAACTGATTGTAAAATGAATGTGAAATAGAGAAGATTGTGCAGACATGTGTTTACAGAAAATTACAAACTCAGTGGTTTGGGGCACAGAGACTTAATGTCTTTGATACCAGAGAGCCAAGTTCCAGGCTCCTTGTTGCACACCAGGTTCTGCTCTTGAAGCCTCTGCAACTTGTGCTTTTCTGCTTGTTTTGGAAACATACCAGTAAAAAACTCCAAGGAATAGACTGCAAAAATCATGCTAAATCTAGTTCATATAATGCACAACTTGGAGAAGCAGTATTTAAAAAGGGAACATTGTGGGAAAACTATAAACTAATTTAAATGTGACGAGTAGGCTTTCCTTCCCTGTGTGTAAACATCTATACACATTTACAGTAGACATTACATAGAATAGGTAGTTTGAATGAAAGCTGTAGGAAGAATCCCAACTTCAAAAATTTCTGAGTGTTTAGTTTTGCAGTGTTATCGATGATTCCTTTTACTCTTGTATATCAGAATCTCTGTAGTATATTGACCATTGACTTTAAATAAAGATTAGTGTATCTAATAATAAATAGTTGAATTATTTATCTTATTATGGGTGAATATTGGCAAGTGTAACACTAAAACTTTTGTTTGCAGTCTTTGCTGCAGATGCTGTGTCATGGTCATTAAGTATTATTCTGTCTTAGGAAAAACATGAGGGCTTTTCCTTGCATTTCCAAGCAGTGCCTGCTTTAAGTGCACTTTAAGAACAATATCTTGTTCCCTTAAACTTCACCACAGTACTTTTAAATTTCTTCCCATGTGCCAGTGTCTTTCCCCTGAAGTGCTTCCTTGATTTTCTCTCCTGTAGTGTGCCCTGACAACATCCTTAGCTTCTTGCTGTGTTCTCTACCATCTCCCATTTTGCTGTGGAGAGTGGGGTGAGGGAGCATTTAGGGGCTGTTTGAGGGTGACCACTGCCTTTCACAGACCATGAACAGCACTTAAGGCCTGAACTCTTTTCTTAGGTCACTCTTGTCTAGTGATTTGGCGATTTTTGCCGAAATTATAAGAACTTGCTATTTTTGAGGAGAAAATTTGTTTTAAATTGTGGTGATGAGTTTTAAAGTTTTGGCAGATGGACAAAGATGCACAGAAAAAAAACCTGGCTAAAAACACAACCCAAAACTCTTTACTTCCCCTTAGTCCAGAAGGACACACTTTTTAAAGAAGAGTTGATTTAAAACTATGTCCATTTGTTGACTACTTAGATATTTACCTTCTGACTTTTTTTAGGTTCAGCAGATAGATCGTGTAGTAGAAGTTGTGGAAGAAACTATTAAAGGTAAGCATCACACTTGAAATAACTGCAACTAGCCTGAAACATGTAAGCATTAGCTAGCAGAAGTGCTACTGGTATGTTCTTCATCAACCTAATGCTTCCTTTCTGCTCTAGCTAAATGTTTTTTGCAGTGCTATACTTCGTCATGTGTGCTTTGTGTAAGTGATAATTTCAGGGATGTTTTCTGTCAGGAGCTCTGTGGAGTCATAGGCAGATGAACAAGGGGGGACTTCAAGAATCATTTTAAGTTGCACCAGTGTAGGTGTGTGTAGAGCATTGCATAAAGCTTTATGTATAAAGTTTTATGTCTACTTTCTTTTGTTTAGTTCTCTGGTGTTTTCATCTTTTCTGATGTTTTGGCTTACTTCCCTAAACTTTCCTCAGCAGGACAGATAAATTATCTTCTGGTTTAATGTTCTTTGTAACTGTGTTCCTTGTTCTCTCTGGCTGTGTTCATGTGTGTGTACACTTAGTACTTTGCAAAGAAGGAGAGAAAAAGGAGTATTGTTTCTTCAGCCTGACCAGTAAACATTTGCTATTAAATAAATATATTTGTCTGGGTCTTTCTGGGTTACCTAAGTTTGTCTCCATTACTTATCAGTCCATAAAAATTACTGTTCCGTGAAGCTTTAAATTACAAGGTTTAGTTTAGTTGGCTGTACTTTCAATATAAACAAGTGTCTAGTCCACAAGACATTGTCTGTAACTTTAATGCTGGAGTATGAGGTTTTTGAACTGCAGCAGATTTAGAGCAGTGCAAAATTTTAAATAGGAAAAAAAAACTGCTGTCAAGAAATTATGTAGTGTGGTACAAGGCTTCTAGAGCTTGTGGCTTGATGGCCTTGAGATTCCTGTTGCTTTGAATGTTTTCAGAAGTGAAACCTGTACTGTTATGGACCCCCCACCAAAACTTTTTCAAGTTTGTCCTTAACTAATGGCATTTGATTCTTTGGGTACAGCCTGCTGTGCCATACAAACAAAGAAGAAATGCATTCAGTGTATTCATGTTTGTTATTTAATAAGCCAAACTATTTTCCCAGAAACATAATGGTATTTATGACAATGTGTTGGAAATGAAGATACTTCATGATTTTTACATCACAGTACTTCAGATCCCTATCTGTCTTTTTTCCTGAAATTTGTTTATTCTTAAGGGAGCAAGATGATATCCTGGGTCAGCGTGCCCTCCCTTTACAGAAGTGAGCTTTGTAATATTTATACTGACTCCAGATATTACTGCTTTTTGATAACATAATTACTCAGGTTGTTGTGACTGAATATTATATAAATATAAAGAGTATAAATAATCTAGAGCAGCTGTTAAAATAATAATTTTCACTGAATGGATTTTTAGATTGCATTTTAAACATTGATATAATTCTGGAAAATAAGGTTCATAGACACACTGAGAAACATGTAAACTTCAAAAAGCATGAAGTTTTGGAAAGATTTTGGTTCCTTTCTAGCTTACTAGAAGTAATTTGAATTAAAATGAGAAAGTGGACTGCTGAGGTCTGTACATAGTGCCAATTCCATCAGAGGTTTCCCAAAAGGTAGTGGAACACAATATTTCTGAAGTTGTATTGGAAAAATCCTGGGGAAGAGAAGGCTTGGGGGGGATCATCTGAATGTGCAGAAACACCTGATGAGAGGGTGCAGAGAGGACGGAGGCAGATTCTTTTCAGTGGCGACCGGTGACAGGACCAGAGGCAAGAGGCACAAACTGAAACACAGGCGGTTCCCTCTGAACACCAGAAAGCGCTTTTTGACTGTGAGGATGACTGAGCATTGGCTCAGTTTGCCAAGGAAGGTACTATTCCAGTACATGGCTGGATGTATTGAAAAACTCTCTGGGTATGGTCAGGGGGATTTGGCTCTAAGGGGCTCTGCTTGACTGAGGGGATTGGACAGGATGATTTCCAGAGGTTGCTTCCAGCTGTAATCCTTCTGTGACAATAAAACTACAGGAAAGGGAATCAACAAATTCACAGAAGTCATAACATATGATAATGGCTTAGTTTTGTAAGAGTCAACCGTAAAAATAGGAGGTTTTACTCATATTTCTTTAATTTAAAGTTATTTAAAGAAGAGGCATTAATTTGTGCATTTAGGAATCATCTACTAATGGTAGAGAATGTGAAGCTCTTTTTTACTGTTTTATGGAAAGAGTCTAATCATGAACTTTCATTATCCAAGTGAAGTAAAATGCTGTAGATAACAGGACTGTTGATTAAGAATATTTTATAATATAAAATAGATACATGGCAGAAGATTAAATTAATGTAAAGCCAAATGAAATGTAACCCTCTGTCTTCATGAGTCTACATCATTAGTAACAGCTTCTGAAGACACTAATGGGTTTGGGAGATGGAGATGATGTGGGACAGAGGATTAAATACAAATTCCAGATTGAGGACCAGCTTAGAGTTTTAAGTTGGGTATCAGTCACAGCTGAATGACACAGTTTTCTTCACCTTTTTTTTTTTTTTTTCTGAAGGAAAATCTGAAGTTTGTAATGGGACCGTATATGTATTGAAAGTTTAAAAAATGTTTTGACTGAGTATAAATTGAGTAAGCGTGTACTTCATAGCGTCTGCACTCTGTAGGGCAGCTGTCTCTAGACTGGTCAGCCTAACTGAGTTGTCTGGATTTTCTGTCCAGATTCCAAGGTGGTTTCCCTGTTGCCAGTGTTAAGTCTAAAAGTCTGGCTTTCCCTGGGTTCCCATTTCTTAAGGGGTACCTTAGTTTTTTTTTTCTTTGATGCTTTAGTTTCATAGTGCATGGTTTACAAAAAGGAAAACTTTGTAGAAGGAATTTTTTCCCTTTTTATTTTCCTGTTAGTTGTATTTTTAGTTTTTCATGAAAATGGCTTCCCTGTTGGATTTGGTTGAGAGCTTACTGTACTCCCAAACAAAACTGATTTATTGGAATTATTTAGAGCTCTTTGTATGAAATATGGATGAGTTTCTCTAGCTTTGTTTCTCAGTCTTAAGGGCATTGTCAGGAAAATCTGTTCAAAACAGTGTCATTCTGCTGGGTCAAGAGATGGCTTCAAGAAGTACATCTTTGTGGTGGTCTTTACCTCATCTGTGTAAAGGTTGCATAATTGTCACTTCCCAACTCTCCACTGAGATAATCACGATAAACACTTTCTATGTGACTTGGTCTTTTTTTTATCCTTCCTTGTCAGAAAATGAAAAAGAAGGATGTGCGTGTTTGTTATTGCATTAACAACCAAAAAGAGGCAGAATTTTTAAGAGACTCAGGGGTTTCTCATTTTTGTGTCACCCTGACTTTCATCCCAGGTCTTGAATTGAATCTTTGAAATATCCTAATTATCAGGTAAATTATCAAGTAAACTGTCACTTCCAGAAGCAGTCTTTAATAGTGGTGCAGTATTTGTATGCAGGTCATACCTAATTAATATTTTACTGTGTCCTAAGGTGTATTTTAACTAGAGGCATCTTCAAGTACTTTTCACATCATATTGTAATTTATAATCTGAAACTTCTGTGCTGCCTGTGAGTAGCTAGACAAATGAATTCAATCTCAGTCTCAGAACTGGGTTTCTCTAAGTGACAGGCACAATTGTGTGTAGCCAGTGTGAGTTCCTGATAAACAGAATGGTTTCATCATGCAAGGTTCTGATTTAACAGTTTAGTAAATCTTGCTTCATCTGCGCATCACCCAGATTTTAAGACTGGCTTACAGCAGTTTTTTACAACATTAGGGCACCAATTCCCGCTCGTGTACTTAGTTTTCCAGTTATGTGTCATGATGATGTAGGATGTTAGGAAAGTATTGCTAAGGAGCTGTGGTGTTGGTGAGCTATGAGAAAACTGGGCTATAATTGATATATGTTCCATCATTTAGTAAAATTTCTGTGCAGAGCGAAGAAGCTGTTTGGGCTGATCAGTCTCTGTAGAATGCTCCAATAAACTGAAGATTTGTCTGGTGGGAACAACAGAATGTCTTTACGGTGATTGCTCAAGTCAGCGTTTTATGAACCACTCTAAAAGCTGCCTTTAAAGAGAAACCACTCTGTGTGTGTGTACAAACTTGGCTATAAACAGTTTACAGTAGGCAAGATAATATATTTGTTCGGTATTTTAAAGAAGAAATGTTAGCTGCTTAATGCAGAAATTCCTGTTTTCTTGGCTTTGAATTTAGGTCTTTAGAGATATGGGTCTTCCCCTTTCCTTTCTAGACATGCTCTCAAATCCCATGTTATTAAAGCTTTGTGGGGGTGGGAGGCATGGAACCAGAGTATTTGTGTACAGTCTCCTTTTAGCTTAGGCCTTAGGGAGATGAAGGACGCAGGTTGAATTAAGTTTAGTCCATATTGTGTCTGTAAAACAGAGTTTTACAATGGGTCATTAGACCTGATTATAAAAAACAACCAAAGGAAATTACTTCAGGGTCGAGCCTTTTATACTTAACATAACCTTTCTTGATTTCAGTCACGTTGACCTGTCTGGTGACATCCATTCCCAGTTTAAACATTAACCAGTATTTACTAAACTGTTAAATTGTCTTCATGTGGTTAGTAATTATGGATTGCTGATAGTTGCAGTGTCTATCTGTATGAGAATGAGCAGATAAATGGTACCTATATTACATATAAGCTAATGTGTAGGATTTATACTGTATTATGTACCTTAGTGAATGTGTGTATATATATGTATGTATATGAATGCCAGCATAATAAATATTTGTATATGGTTTTTGATTTCACTATAATCTGGTTATAGCAGATAGTCTCTTTTCAATTTCTGTAATTGTGGGAAGAGTAGCATTGACTTAGGCTGATGACAGGCCAAATGAAGAATAAAAATTGGAGGAGTTGGGAGTTCCTATTTGAGGAAAAGTATCATTTGGCTCCCAGTCAGGAAACTGACTGTTTGTGCCAAAGTGCAGCTTGAGCAGGGTAAGAGGGAGGGTAGTGGCCTCATTGAGTCTCTGTTTCTGTCTCATTTGAAAGGAGATAGAAAGGGGGAGACAAT